CTATATTATCTACTATTTGATAAATCCAAAGACTTCAGTTTCTGGGATAAGAAATCACTAATTAACCAAAACTTCTGTGAAAAATGGAAAAATGTATGGCAGAAACATGGAATAGACCAACGTCTCACACCCTATACCAATATAAAGTCAAAATGGGTACAAGATTTAGATATAAAGACTGAAAGTATAAGCAAACTAGAAAGGTAAGGAATAATTTGCCTTTCAGATCTATGGAGAAGGGAAGAATTTATGACCAAACAAAGGTAGAGAACATTATGAAATGCAAAATGGATAATTTTGGTTGCATTAAATTGAAAAGTTTTTTGCATAAAGGCAATGCATGCAACATTAGGAGGGAAGCAGAAAACGGGCAAAGAATTTTTACAATCAGTGTCTCTGATAAAGGCCTCATTTCTAAAACATATAAAGAACTGATTTGAATTTATAAGAATACAAGTAATTTTCTAATTGATAAATGGTCAAAGGATATAAACAGGCATTTTTCAAAGGAAGAAACTAAATCTATCTATAGTCATATGAAAAAAAATTCTAATTCACTATTGATTTGAGAAATGCAAATCAAAACAACTCTAAGGTCCAAATCACACCTATCAGATTGGCTAACATGACAGAGGAGGACAATGATAAATGTTGGAGAAGTTGTGGGAAAATTGGAACATTAATGTATTATTGATGGAATTGTGAACTGATCTAATATTTTGAAGAGAAATTTGGATCTACATCCAAAGGGCTATAAAATTGTGGATACCTTTTGACCCAGCAATACCACTTCTAGGTCTGTATCCTAAAGAGATCACAAAAATGGGAAAAGGACCCACTTGCACACAAAAAAATATTTATAGCAGCTCTTTTTGTGGTGACAAAGATTTTGAAATTGAGAGAATGCCCATCAATTGGGGAATGGCTGAACAAATTGTGTTATATAAATGTAATGGAGTACTATTGTGCTATCAGAAATTATGAGCAGGCAGATTTCAAAAAATCCTGGAAAGACTTACATAAACTGATGCAGAGTGAAATGAGCAGAACCAGGAGAACATTGTGCACAGTAACAGCCACATTGTGTGATGATTGACTCTGAAAGACTTAGTTCTTCTCAGCAATGCAAGGATCTAAGACAAGTCCAAAAGACTCATTATGGAAATTGCTATCCACATCGAGAAAGAATTATGGAGTCTATGCAGATGGAAGCAGACTATTTGCTCCCCTTTTCATTTGTTGTTTTGTTTTATTGCTTCATTCTTGTGGTTCCTCCCATTAGTTCTAATTGTTCTTTACATCATGACTAATGGGAAAATATGCTTAATGTAAATGTATAAGTAGAGCCTACATCAGAGTGCACACTGTCTTAGGGCAAGGGAGAGGAGTGGGAGAGGGAGAAAATTTAAAATTCAAAATCTTGTGGAACTGAATGCTGAAAACAAAATAAATACATTCTAAAAAAGAGAAATAATTTTACTATCTCGTTATGCCTTGTGTTGCATACTAATGAGGAAACTGAAGTCCAGAAAGCTTAAGTAATTTGCCAATGGACACTCAAGTATCCTTACCCATACATGTGAAGCTAGAATTCAAATTAGTTCTCCTACAACCTAATTAAGACCTATGTTCTCTATACTACTCTATGTTTCCCATAGTTGTTACAAAGGTAAGTGGTTTGTAAACGAGAAAAAACCCTGCAAACAAGTTGGACAATTTTAATTAAAATTGTATTTGATTATTTGATTTGGCCACAAACAACCTATTGAGGTCCTACTGATACTTCACATGTATCCTGTTGTTTTATTCTTAGGAATGGGAGGCAGACTTGCCAAGAAAGTCTTCCCAGAGGGGAAGCAGCTACAAGACATTTGGGAAAAGTTTCCGTTAAACAAAGACATTTCTTGAAAAATGAGCTGTTAATCTTAAGAGTTTTTATTATGTAATTCTGTTGAATAAGAGGCTTCTTTTCTATAATAGTCTGGTCCTTGACATCATTTGGTTGGGGTAGTGGGGCTTTACATTGTAGAGTTTCCTGTCAATGCATGAAATAATAGAATAATTACTATCCTCAGCCCCAGTGTTGACCAAACCATGCATGAGTACACAAGGAAGCTCCTATAGTAAATGGGAAAGAAGCGTTGGGATCAATAATTGTGTCAATAAGTATCTACTTTTACATGATATTTATAATTTTCTAAATTGATAGTTAAAATGTCAATATTGAGATAATTGAGTATTTCTCTCTTATGTTTAATAACTAATTATTGAATGAAAACCAGTTTTTTTTCTCCTTTTCTACTATCTCATCCAGAAATCACCCAGTGTGAGAAATTTTGGGCAAAGATTTTCCCAGTATAAATTGAATCAAAAATTTAAAAAAAAATTCTAAGTGTAGATGAATGGGTGGATTCCTGCTCATTTTGTTTGTTCACACAGGTCTGAGATGTAGTTTCACATTTTTGACAGATGGGCAATATGGAAATTGATAATACTCTTTGACCAAGATTTGGGTGCTCAGTGTCATGTACCCCAAGATCCTCATTGGAAGATAGACTACTTCTCATTATGTTCATTCTCTCATTATTTTTTACCAATCATAATCAACTGCCATGCTAGCATTATAGATAAAATTATTAATTACCCATAAACAATGTCTCTTGAACCTATTAAACACCACAATATTAAAATGATCATTAGATGAATGTAAAATAAGCATCTAAGTAGAAGCTACCACGGCATTTCAAAAAAGTCCTACTCCAAGAAGATTCCCTCTAATGCCTTGTATTGTTGCCCATAGGGAGAAAAAAAACCTTAGAGATCAGTCTCCAGGGGCTGGTTCTCAAGAGTCATAGAGGCAGATGTTACATCTTCCATTCAATTCCCAGGCTGAGCTTCCTCATACTCTATAATGGCTTATTTCTTTGCTTTAGTTTCTTATGGGATGACATGGAGAGAATTTCATTCTCCTTGCCCTTCAGGGGAAAATTACTAGAGTTTTGATCTTATCAGGCTTTATATAATCACTGATGCCCTAAGTTGCCCCAGATATAATTTTCTGAAGGTGTTTTAAATCATAGAAGCACTTTTTTTCCTCCAGGCCAATTACATACCGAATCTCTCAATTAAGAAACACACCATAAAGAATTTCCCGCCTTCTGGTGAGTAGATATACTTGGACATTGCCTTCCTTCCTATGTATTTGCCAGGACTATTCAGAAGGGACTTCCCACTGTAATTTAAGTGAATTGAAGAAGTATTTATCATCTGTAAGTGCTTTTTATTTGAAAGGAATTTAAGCAAATGGAGTGTAAGATACATTAGAGCTTTATCTGTCTATATGTATAAAATATCTTTTTCAATCTATATCTATATGCACATATACACATGTGGTCTTCTATCAGATAGAGGATACTAAATAATAGGCCCTAAAATATGATGAGTAATGCTCAATATTAGATAATATTTATATATTACCTATTGCATGTCAGGTACTGTACTAAAGAATTTTTAAATATGATCTCAGTTGACCCTCACAACAACCCTGAGAGTGCTATTATTTTCCCCATTTTGCATATGAGGAAACTGAAGCAAAAAAAAGTTAAATGAATTGCTCAGGGTCACATAGCTTATAAGTGTGTGAAGCTGGATTTGGTCTCAGGAAAATGAGTTATTTTGATTGCAGGCCCAGGACTTTATCTACTGTGACACATAACTGTTCAAAGAAGGTATAGCTTTATTGTATTCTTCAGAAGGACTGTGGGTAGAATGCTATCTTCAATATAGGGTGTCAACTTTTAAAAGGGTATCAATTGGCACATAATCTATCATTTCATGACCTGGATACAAAAAATATGCCAAAGTCTTGCCTGTTGCATGACCAGTTAAAGTAACTGGGCATGCTTGTCTCAGAAAAGTAGACAGCAGGAAGGGGGAAGATGATTTTAGGTCACAGCAAGATAGTCAATCAATCAATATATATTAATTCACCAACTAGTGTGAGCCAAGTATTTTGCTGGGTACTTGATATACAAATATGAGAACATGAAAAAATAAAGAAAAGCCTGTCTTCAAGGAGTTTTTTTTCTGTAGGGGAAAATTTTTTTCAAGTGCATCATTACAGGAAAAAACAAACAACCATGAAATAATTGCATTTTAGTCATGGGGTACAGCACATAAAATGGTTGAGAGAAAAGAGATGGAATTCCCCCTGTAAAGGACAGTACGAAGGCAAGTTTAGTTGGACAGTAGAGTGCATGAAGAGGAACATTTTATATAAAGCTAGAGGTTCATGTTAGAGTCTGATTAGAAATATTTTTAAATATCAAAAGAAGTCTGAATTTGTGTTCAAATATGATGGAATCTTTGGAGGTTAGGGGGACACAAGTTCAGATGTATGCTGTAGGAAAACTGTATGGTAGCTGTGGGAGTGACATTAGATCCAGAAAAGAATACAAGAAGTGATAAGTAGAAACACAAAGAGGAAAATCTGGGCTCAATATGGGTTTGGGTTCATCCCAATTAAGCTATCCAAGGCAAATGTGATACTTGCAGAGGAGTCCCCTCCCACCTTGAAGGTCTTCAAACAAAGGCTTGCTAATAAATTATAGTCTTTGACTCCTGGTTTCCTTCAAGTCCCTCTTATAAGCCCACATTCTACAGGAAGTCTTCATCAATCCCAAAAATTCTAGGGTCTTCTCTTTGGAGAATTTTTTTTTTGTCCAACTTATTCTGGATATAGTTTGTTTATACATAATTGTTACATGTTATCTCTCCTTTAGATTGTGAGTTACCTGAGGGCAAGGATTGTCTTTTACCTTTCTTTCAGTCCTAAGCACGTAGGATAGTGCCTGGAATATGTAAGTACCTAATGTTTATTGGACTGACAACTGATTTTTATTATTGTGCTTTTTTTTTTCAATTTGAGGTTGGAGTATATAGCCATTGGGATCCCTTCCTTTTGTCCTAATATGCTTGTGTGATTTTCTCCAATAGGAACCATGACAAATGCTGCCCGAAATGAGAGTGATGTCATCTTCATCTTATTAGGATTCTCTGATTACCCAGAGCTCCAGTTCCCTTTATTCCTGGTATTCCTGGTGATATATATTATTACTGTAGCAGGAAACTTGGGCATAATTATGGATCATCAGGATTAACCCCAAACTCCACACCCCCATGTACCTATTCCTTAGTCATCTGTCTTTTATAGATTTCTGTTACTCCACTGTAATTACACCCAAATTATTACAGATCTTGCTTGTGGAAGACAGAAGCATCTCTTTTGCTCCCTGCATCACACAATATTCTTTTGCTGTCCTCTGTGTGGTCACGGAAGCATTCTTATTAGCAGTGATGGCCTATGACCGCTTTGTGGCAATTTGCAATCCTTTGCTGTACATAGTTGTCATGTCCCAGAAACGCTGTGCCCTGTTGCTGACAGCAGTATATACATGGGGCATATTTTCTTCTAGCATATTCATCTACTCTCTCCTTACAAGGTCCTACTTTGGGATCAACATCATTAATAATCTTCTCTGTGAGTATTCCGCTATCGTTTCTGTCTCTATCTCTGATAATCATGTTATGGAGACAATCTTCTTTATCCTTGCTAATTTTAACACATTTTCCACCCTCACTATTGTACTTACATCCTATCTTTTTATTTTTGTTACTATCCTGAAGATACATTCAACTAGTGGGAGATACAAAGCCTTCTCTACTTGTGCCTCCCACCTCACAGGTGTTACCATCTTCTTTGGAACTATCCTCTTCCTCTACTGTGTGCCCAGTTCCAAAAGCTCGTGGCTTCTAGTAAGAATAAGCACTGTGTTTCCTACTGTGGTAATCCCCATGCTGAACCCCTTAATATACAGTTTAAGGAATAAAGATGTGAAAGAAACTGTCAGGAATTTAATGGAACTGCCAGTTAAATGGTGCAGTGGATTGAGTTTTGAACCTGGAGTCAGGAAGGTCTTAGTCCACATCTGGCCTTTGACACATACTAACTGTGTCACCCTGGGCAAGTCACTTAACCCTGTTTGTCTGAGTTTCCTCATTTGTAAAATGAGCTAGAAAAGGAAATAATAAACCACTCCAGTATTTGTTTTCAAGAAAACCCTAAATTCAGCCACAAAGAGTTGAACACAACTAATCAACAAAACAACAGCAACAACATATTTTCACATTAAAATTATTGTTAAAGATGATTCATCTTCCTGCTGTCATAATCTTGGAGAATTAGGGGGGATATTTATTTAATATATTCATTTCTTAATCATAATTCAGGACTTTTCTAGTGTCTAACATTTGGTTGCTACAGATATCCATGAGAAATCTATGAACCCATGCTGAAATGAAGAAGCGACAACATGTAACATGAAAATAATTACTTTAGGAAAAGAAAGACAAAACAAAACAAATAAAACAAAATACAAATACAAACACAAATTTCAACAAAACTAAAGAAAACTTCTTGTACCTAAATCAATAGGATAAAGCTGGCCTCACACCAAGGTCAATCTTCTAAAATTTGTGCATAAAATAAGTGTACTCAAACCAAGAAGAACTAAAAGAAAGAAAACTACAAATCTATTTCCCTAATGAATATCCATGCAAAAATCTTAAATAAAATACTCTCAAATATATTACAGCAATGTATTACAAGGATCTTACTCTACAACTACAGAGGATTTACACCAAGCACGCAGGTTTGGTTCAATCTTAGGAATACCATCAGCATGATTGACCATATCAATAACAAAACCAACAAAAATAATCTCATTATCTCAATAGATACCGAAAAAGCTTTAAACAAAATACAGAACCCATTTCTACTAACACATTAGAGAGCATATGAATAAAGGGAGCTTTCTTTAAAATTATTAGTGTCAAATATATCAGCAAGGATTTTCTTTAGTGGGGATAAACTTAATGCCTCCCCATTAAGATCAGGGGTGAAACAAAGATGCCCATTATCACCACAATTATGCAATATTATATATAAATGTTAGCTGTACCAGTAATAGAAGAAAAGAAATTGAAGTAATTAGAATAGGTGATGAAGAAACAATTCTATCACTCTTTGTAGATGTTATGATTGTATACATAGAGACTCCTAGAGGATCAACTAAAAAAAACTATATTAAAATTAATGACTTTAGCAAGGTTGAAGGATATAAAATAAATCAACACAAATCATCCGCATTTCTATACATTACCAACAAAGCTTAGCGGCAAGGGATAGAAAGAGAAATTCCTTTTAAAATACCTTGTCAACAATATAAAATACTTGGTAGTCTACCTGCCAGGACAAACCCAGAAAAAATAGAAACACAAATACAATACACTTTTCACACAAATAAAGTCACGTATAAACAATTGCAAAAATGTCAATTGCTCATGGACAGGGTGAGCCAATATAGTAATAATGACATTTCTGCCTTAACTAATTTACTTGTTCCATACCAATCAAACTACCAAAACTATTTTATAGACCTAGAAAAAATAACAAACACAATTCACCTGAAAGAACAAAAGGTCAAGATTATGAAGGGGATTATTAAAAAACAAATGCAAAGGAACATAGCCTGGCAGTACCAGATCTCAAACTATATTATATAGTGGTCCTCATCAAACCTATCTGGTACTGGCTAAGAAACAGAGTGGTGGATCAGTGGAATTGATCAGGTACACAAGAAAGAATAGTAAATACCCATTGCTTGGTAAACTTTGAGGCATCAGAATTAATATTTTTATAGGTGATTTTGACTAGTCAATATTAGGGTGAATGGAAAATAAACTTCTAACTTCCACAGTCCTTAAGTTGCAGTGACAACAGAGATGCTAATACATCATTTTAATGCCATTTCCACTGATAAAATCATATCGGTTACTGATGTCAAATAATTTCATAGGCCTAAGAGTTTTGCATCGAGCTTTCTTTTCTATGTTTTTAGTAGCTGCCCTTGCAGTACTCTCCTGAGCAGTCATCAAAATGTATCTCCATAGGGTTTGAGAACAAATATTCTATAGGAAGTACTGTTGGCACAAGGCATGGTGCTAGGAGTTCAGAAGCACCTAGTCAAGGTTCCACAGTACCTGGATATCTATATTTGAGCAATGAATCCTGAGGCTTTCTAGGGCCAGCATTACCCATGGAAGCTTTATTATCTGCCATCTTTATGTTAGGTCATGAATATAACAGAATAATCTCACAAATATACTTGTATGTTGTTCATTCTGTGGAGTGAGGAGCAAGGGACAGCATAATAGAGATTATCTCCCACCCTGATTGTACTGTGGAAAATTATTATTAATCAATTTTTTTCATTAATTAGTTTAGCATAATCTGCACTCATGTTTGCAAAGGAAATCGTAGACAACTCTAAAGAATCTTTAGTGAATTTTCCTTTGTGACATCAAGGAAATTCCATTCCATGAATGGAAACTTAAGAAATCAAGTTCCCTCTGGTGACGTATCTCCCTTTGTCTCATGGAGAAAAATAAAGTAGAAGTTCTTTAAACCATTTGTCTGAAAGTTTCTGGATGTAGATATGTTTCATAGTCTTCTCCTAAGACTCAGCTTCTGAACACAAAAATATAAAAATTTTCTAGATTTCTGGACAGTCTAGGCTTTGCCATGAATTGGAAAGGTTTCATAAATTATTCTTAGTCAGGGAAAAGCATCATACTTTTGTATATTTATCTATTGTGTGTTCCCAATGTGATTTATAAAACTGGATTTTTATGGAACAGGGCATTTGGGGGGAGGAACAAAATTGTAATCAATAAATGGCTGTTAAGTTATTCTGGGAAAATTAGCAATAGAAATAGGATGATATTTGTTTCAGGTACCCATGGACAAATACTGTAGTGTTGATCCTGGGAGGAGCTGAGGGGGAAGTTTGTCCATAAGAGTGTTAATTCTCTAAGGAGTTCTGAACATTTTGCTTGTTCCACAAGTATCAGAATGTTCAAGATGGAAAGGAAGTGTCACAATCATGGTGTGCATCCAAACTCCTCCATTTTTGGAGAAATAAATTGAAGCCCATTAAGCTTTTATGTTTTATCCAAAGTCACATAGTAACAATTGGTTAGAACCTGAGGGAAATTAAATTTCTCAGAATGTTGATGATGAAACAAGCTTCCCTCCTGTCATTAGAGTTGGGGAGATATGGATATGGAATGCAGTATAAGTGTCAGGTATGATTACTGTTATCAATTTATTTGCTTTCTCTCTCTCCCCCACTCCCCTCTGTGGTGTGTGTGTGTGTGTGTGTGTGTGTGATTGTATGCCTTTCCAGTCTTCTTAGACCTTTCTCCTCTCCATTTACTCTGTGATACAATGGCAGTGGTCTCCTTGCTGTTCTAGGAAGAAGACATTTCATCTGCTCTCTCAAGAGAAATTCACTGGCTACCCCCCATGTCTGCATATCTCTACTTTTTCAATTCTACCTCTTAGGGTACCTGATTTTCTTCAAGAACCAGATAAAATCTCACTTTATGTAAGATGACTTACTGGAATCCCTTTAATACTAATGCCTTGCCTTTGTTGATTATTTCCAATTTATGCTGTCTAGAGCTTCTTTGTACAGGTTTTTCCACTATTAGGTAGTGAACACCTTGATTTCATGGACTCTTTTCCTGTTCTTGGAATTCCTAAAGCTTAGCACCTGCCTGGCACAAAGAGGATACTTAATCAATGTTTGTTGACTCACTGTGTGTGATTTTGTGTACTAAGTTGGTTACATGCTAGAGGTAGACAAAAGAAGGGAATTTTGCAAAGAAATAACTAATGAAAAAGAAGAAACAAAATCAAACTTAAGTAAGATGAAGAAAATTTGGCATTGGAAGGGCTTTTAGAGGTCATCTAGTCTAAACCTTTCATTATACATGTCATAAAGACCCAACATGTTGTGAGGGCTGACCTATGTGTATAGCATAGGGATGGTGTTATATGTCTTGAAGGGAATTGGATCAAAGAGGGAATATTATACCCACTCAATTGTGTATAGAAATCTACCTTACCATACAGGCAAGTAAGAGGGAAAGGGGACAAGAGAAGGGTGTGTGCGTATGTGTGTGTGATAGAAGAGGGACAGATTAGGGTAGGGGATGGTTAAAAGCAAAACACTTTTGAAGAGGGACAGGGTGAAATGTGGGAGATAATAGAATAAAATCGGGGGATCTGATGGTGCAAAATACAAATAGCAATAGTAACTGAAAAAATTTCAAAGCAAGTTTCTCTGATAAAAGACTCATTTTTCAAACATATAAAGAACTGAGTCAAATTCAAAAAAAATTAGCCATTCCCCAATTGCTCAGTGATGAATTTATATGAAGTTTTCAGATGAAGTCATCAAAGCTATCTGTGGCCATATTAGAAAAGTGCTCTAACTCACTATTGATTGGATAAATGCAAGTTAAAACAATGCTGAGGTGCTACCTCATACTTATTAGATTGGCTAATAGGATAGAAATGGAAAATGAAAAATCATGGAAGGGACGTGGGGGAAATGATTTATTAATGCACTATTGTTGAAACTGTGAAGTGATTCAACCATTCTGGAGAGGAATTTAGAACCATGCACAAAGGGCTATAAAACCATGCGTACCTCTTGACCTAGCAATAACACTACCAGGTCTGTGTCCTAAAAGAGATAGAAAACAAACAAAAAAAAAAAGGAAAGAAACTATATGTACAAAAATGTCTATAGCAGCTCTTTTATGGTTGCAAATACATGGAAATTTAGGAGATAACCATCAATTGGGGAATGTCTGAACAAATATTGGTATGTGATTGTGATGGAATACTATTATGCTATGGCAGATAATGAGTAGGATGGTGTCAGAAAGCCCTGGAAAGACTTGCATGAGCTGATGCAAAATGAAATAGACTGTGCAAAAAGGACAGTAATATTGTGAGATGATCAGCTACGAATAACTTAGCTATTCTCAGCAATGCAATGATCCAGGACAACTCTGAAGGACTTATGATGAAAAATGATATCCATCCCCAGAGAAATGACTGACAGTGTTTGAATATAGAATGAAGCATTTTTTTACTTTATTTTTCTTGAGGATTTTTTTTTTGGTCTATGTTTTCTTTCACTCCATCACTATTGGAAATGTTTTTCATGACTGCACATGCATGACCTATACCAAAATATTTCCATCATAAACAAGTATTTAACCAAAAAAAGACTTCCAAAAACCAGGAGGATAAATCCCAGCCAATCTGAAAAGGGGGGAGAGAGACTCTGACCCTTAAAAAATCTTGGCACTAAAAAATTTTGGGAAGCTAAAAACAGAGAAAATTTGATTTTAAAATGTAAAGTCCTAGAATAATTATCTTCTTAAAATTCAGTTCTAAACCCCAGGACTATTCAAATTGGAATCTTTACTGACACTACTACTTTCAGGGGAGGGGAGAAGAAAGAAAATTGGAAAGCATGAATTATAGTAATGTGTGATATCAGCATAACCACGAAATTCCAATTATTTAAATAATTAAATGCTTTCTATGGATGATGAAACTAAAGTTTAGGAAAGCAAAGTCCTCACGCTCCAGATAATACACAAGAGTCGAGACCTTCACCATGTGCTGCAGCTGCCTCTGGAAATGTCCCCTATGCAGAGATCAGAGCCATTGACAATTCTTAAAGCCTACTTGCATGCTACATTCCACAAAATTTTATGAATTCTTACTTCTCCAGAGAAACTGACATGTTTCTTTTGGCACCACATTTGGAGATAGAAAATAATACCTGGTAGAGTTTTATGTTTTGCCTAAACTCATAGGTGGAAGAGGCTAGAAGGTGGAAGCTTAATGTCAAACCTATTATTAATAACAGAGCTTACCCTCCTGTCAGTAAGAAAGGTGGAAAACTAAGGCTGGGAAATTCAGTTGTCAAAAATGATGCATTTCTTGCTTTAAGACAAGTCAAGTAAAACAAAAATCTTTCATTAAATCTCTACTATATGGCACAGGAGCCATGCTGAATGTTGGGCATACAAAGAAAGTTAAAAAAAAATGATTCCTGTACTCAAAGAGCTCACAGCTTAATGGTAGATACAATATACAAACAACCAGGTATAAGTAAGACAGGGTAAACTAGGTATAATTTAAAGGGAAGGTGATAATATTAAGGAAGAGTGGGAAAGGTTTTTTTTTTTCCTAGAAGGTGGACACCTTCTATGACACCTGAGAAACCAAAGGACCTATATAGGAGGGGGAAAAATGCTAGACTTTATTTTTCATTCAATCATTTATTCATTGACATTTATTTACTTATTCATTAATTTATTGATTTATTTAGTTATTTATCTATTATCCTTTTATTTGTGTATTTATTTGTGTAAACAGTTTTATTCTCAATGCTATGCTTTGTAGAACTTCCCTGCCAGAACATGGAAGAAGAGTACAATTCCATTCTTCAACTCCAATCCTGATCATCTAATTACTGGGAAAGGACAGTTCCAACACAAATTGTGTATCTTTCCATCTAATATATCTATAATTAAATATACATATATACAGTATATGTATATATATGTGTGTGTGTGTATATATGCACACATATATGTGTGCATATGTGATATAAATAGATTGATATAGATCTATTTGATTATTTAATTCAATGTAATCTATCATTCCATCAACCTTAATGCTTTTATTTTTGTTTATTTCCAAAGTAGAATTTAGCTCAATTATAATAAGATGAAGTAAAAATCTGAATTGAAATCTCCACTCAGATTTCAAGGAAATCCCATTTTGAAAAAATAACACAGGAAACTCCGGGTTTCCTCCAATGAATTGTTTTGTAGACTTTGGGGAAAGACTCAGAGGAGATTCTTTGGAGCCTGGTTCCCCAGGGTCCTTAGGCAGATTTTATATATCTTCCTTCATTCCTGACTTAGCTCCTAGATACAGCAAAATCGTTTCGTTCCCTTTCCTCTTTTTGTCTTAAACTATGAAATGGGGAACATTTTATTCTCCTGTCCCACTCTGTGGAATTACCATAGTTTGAAGTTATCAGGCTGTGTATGCATACTGACGATCTCAATCTAATCAGATACTCTTTTCTCAGGGTTTTTACCACCATGGAAAAAATAATTTGCCATCCCATTATTCCCATCAATTCATATCTAAGAAATAAGACATACAGAGTATCTGTCTTTTGGTAAGTGTATAGACTTGCATGTGGAGTATATGAGTGTCTGGGGCTAGTCACAAGAGAGCCAATCAGAAATTCAAATGAATTGACTAATAATTTATTATTTGTAAGTCACCAATAACTAAAAGGAGGAAGTTGAACTTGAAATAGGATTTGGGCAAAGAGTAGAAGGACTTTAAATGCAAATGAGGAGGGATAACTTTTTTTAGATTAAAAGACACAGTTGCAAAAGACTCTAGGGCTTCTATTACTGCAAATTTCTTTAAGTTAAGGAGGGGAAATGGGGGCAAGGGTTCTAATTTCTGCTGACAGCAGATAACATAAAACTCAATCAGGAAGAATTTTCTGGGGTTTTCAAAAAGAGCTATTTCTAATTCCTGTGGGAGCTCTTCACAATAAATCTGTAAAGACTGGTGATGAATTTAAAAATCTAATACAAACCAAATAGGAGAGTTGGAAGGGATTATTAAGGAAATCTTCCACCTAGAGGTCCTACAGTCTCCTGGAGAGTACTTCCTTTTGCCTTGTTCCCTTTGAGCAGAAGTCAGTAATTTAAGAGGCAAGTCCAGAGGATCAGTCAGCCCAACCAATATATGTTTATTAAGCACCTACCATGTGTTAGGTACTATGCTAAATACAGGAAATACAAAAAGAAGCAAAAGATAGTTGCTGTCATCAAGGAATTTACAATCGAATAGGGGAGACAAAAAATAGCAAATGTATGCAAACCAGCTAAATACAGAGGATAAATAGAAAATTGTTAGCAGAGGGAAGGCACTAGAAATAAGATGAAATAATTAACATTGGTTGATGGTCAATTGCCTAGTGGCTAGTAATTCCTCAGAACAAAGAGAGATAACCTGAATAGATCATAGCAGTTTTAAACAGACTTAGAACAACATTACAGGTGACAGATTGGTTGAAGCTGCTCAGCTACTTGACTTGTTTGTGAGGCTGGGTAATAGGAACAGGATTTCAGCTGAGAGAAAGTCTTAACTTTGGGAGTTGACCCTTCTTAGTCTTGTCTCTGGAGTTCTCAAAAATCTATTCTGGAAGACATATTTCTCTGTGGTTAATCCCATCCAAATATTAAAGTGGGACAGGAATCTCCAAGATATCTGAGGCCCCCTTCAGGATAGAAACAGAGGTCTTTTTGTGTTGTTGAATAAAATAGAGATAGAGGTTCAATTTATGCAATCCTATAACTCCCTTTCTTTGATTTCTTAGGTTACTTTATCTAGGGAGAAGATGTTTCTCCCACACTCACATAATATAGATTGCATCCATTTCCTCCAAGGACCATAGGATAGAGAATGCAAATAATGGGAAGATCATTAGATCATGAAATTTTAGAGTGAGAAGGATTCTTTGAAAACAAGATGTTAGACTGATTACTTACCCCAACAAAAATGACTGGCCTCTGTTTATATATGTTAAAATCCATTCCTTCCATCCAGGTCCACTTCCTCCATCCAGCTCCCTTCTCTTCATCCTCTCTCTATCCTCTCCATCCTCCACCCTCTCTCCTTTCTCTTCAAGTCTGCTCCCCTACCCCATGTAAGTAATACTCTAGTGCTATCTTGTATCACTTCTCAGGGACCTTTCCTTGGTACACTGATTTGTATCATAGTCAATTTCATGTGTATGCCTTCTCCTTATCCATCACATCCCCCCCCCATTAAAAAGGATACATACATATTTATGATAACTGGCTTCTCTCAAGAATATTAAAATCTAAAGGAGGGTTTTAGCAGACAAGATACATTCATGGTATTGATATGACACAAAAGAAGTGTGCAATGTTTATGTGCCTTATGTGTGTTAATACTCGGTAAATTTTTAATAGAATTGAAATGTATAATGAACCTAAGTGAGGCTCAGAAAGTTTGTGTAACTTATCAAGTTCATATTAGTAGTAAACAGAAAAGCCAGGAATTAAAATGAAATCTTCCTACTCCAAATCTGCATTTTTTTTTGGTTTGATTTTGTCTCAACTAGATTGTATAGACAAAGGGACAGGGACAAGGACTGATCTGTTATTTCACTGATGCATAGGACTATCTCTTGAAGAAAATCCTTCGGCAAATGCAATATTGTACCTTCTCTGCCTATAACACTAAGAGGTAGACAACATGTGTAAGAGGCAAGGAATTCAAACCAGGTCTTCTTAACCCTGGGCCAGATCTCTCTCTCTCTTCATTGTGCAACTTTGCCTCTCATTGTTGGGGAGGGAGAGAGAGAGGGAGGGAGAGAAAGACAGAGAGAGACAGAGACACAGAGAGAGACAATGAGAGACAATGAGAGACAGAGACAGAGACACACAGAGATATGGAGATACACAGAGACACAGAGAGAGATTTAGAGAAAGAGAGAGACAGAGATGTGGGGGTGAGAGAGAGAGAGAGAGAGAGAGAGAGAGAGAGAGAGAGAGAGAGTTGAGACCATACTCTATGCTCTCCTCTCCTCTCCTCAGAGAGATCAAACTAACATGAAACTAAAGGTTATCATACTTTTCTATGATCACAAAACTCTTATCAGAGTCAGAATTAGAACTTGGATTTTCCCAACTCCAAGTCTAGTACTGAATCCACTGTTTCATTATAGAACTATGCTATGTGATGAAAAGGGAGATGAAGGCATAAGTCTCTGTGTGTGTGTGTGTGTGTGTGTGTGTGTGTAAAATCAGCCTAAAGATAATGTGGAATGTCACTATAAATGCAGGACAAGAGATTACCAGGTGAGATGTAGATAAGAGTAGAAGAAAAGGTTTAAGAGATGAGTCTGTAATAAAATACCATGACCTCATTTGCTTCTACAGAAAGGTATCATATATAACTAACAATGGGAATAAACTAGAAAGCCTTTTTTAAAACACAGGAGAATTTTGACCTAAAACTATTATTGAGAATTAGTAGCCCGAGAACCATGACAAGTATATGACACTGGAAAGGTATTACTTATTTAAAATAAACATGCAAAGTAAATGAAAGATAAGTTTCACATAAAAAATTAAGACTTCTGTGATTAATCACATCAGGAATGTTGAGAAGTTGGGGTCATGGTAGACAGCATTGAGGTAAAATAAGTACATTCAGAAACAGAACTCTCATCAGATGACCTAGAAAGTAACAACTAGGTGGAGTGTTTCAGAAAACAGATCACAAGCTTGGCATAGATGACATAAGAATGTGAATTTAATTAAGTCTATTGAACCTCTCTCTTAACCTCACGCACACGCACACACACACAAAAGTAGAGCATGTATTCATTGCTTTACTGGCCTTGACTATAATGTTCTTCCTCCAAAAATTGAGAGATCAATGAGGACCAATTACATTGTGGATCTGAGTCTTTTTATTAGAAGGAACTCTTTATTCTGTTAGTTAAAATGGAAACCTATGAGAAGTGTCTGCTCTATCTCTGAACATTTGTTAGAGAAGAGAAAGATGGGGATAATCTGATACACATTCTAGACTTTAGGAGAGCAGATTGCAAAGGGTTCTTGAAAATGATCAGATGAGGTCATCCTAGGAGGGTCAGAAATCTCTCAAGAATGAAATTCTAAAGGAAAAAAATAGTTCTTATTACAAAAAGAAGAGCTTCGTATAAATAGAACAATATGTGTTCAAGAAAAGTCATCATATGTTCTAATATGTAAATCATGTCTAGAACATGAGGGGAATACTGGTATAGAAGTTTGATAGAAAATTGAGATATTATCTCGTTAGAATAATGACATGAGTGCAAAATCACAAAATGAGTTGAGATTGGTGGGGACCAAGAAAAGTTTCATGTCAAATATGGTGCTTCAGCTGTGTCATTATGGAAAAGGACTGTCTAGCAGAAGGAAGGTGTATATTCCAGGCATGGGGAATGACCAGTGCAAAGGTATAGATAAGGAACCCAAAGGATCATGTTTGCAGTGCAGAGAGAAGATTGTATGGCACATGCATCATTTAGGGATGTCTTGTCGCCATTTGATAGTGACCATTTAAAAAAATGACTCGGACAAAAGCATAGATTACGTGCTTATCAAAGTTTCAGAGACTGCAAATCACAGTTTTGGATATTGTTTGTGAAAATGAGGGAAAAAAAAAACCTTAGCAGGCCAGAACAATGCTCTGAAATACATAGGATGGAATTTTATAAGAATAATATAAATTCTTGTTCTGGGGTCCTACAAATAAACTTTCAAATACAAGAAGAAAGACTCATGGCTAAGTATTGTTTCCCACAGAGGTGGGAATAGTTGGTTTTTGTCAGGTCATATAGAGTTTCAAAATCAAGACAGAACAGAATACATTTTATGCTAATATAGAAGATGGAATGGAGTGATGAGATACTTAAGACCGGAAGAGCATATAGACAGGATGAAGACCTTAACCTAAGTTGTTAGCTGCATGAGTGAAGGTAGAGACCTTTTTGTCAGACATTGTGGGGGTAAAAAAGTCTAGACTTCACAACTGATCAAGTAAGGTGAGGGAAAATGCAGATTCCAGGATAATTATGGATTTAGGAACCTGGGAAACAGGTGGAATATGGTGCCTATGATAAAAATTGGGAAGTTTGAAAGAGAAAAGCATTTTACAAGAATAGTTATGAGTTCTTTTCAGAATATCATATACACATATGTATACATGTTCACCTACGTGTGCATTTATATGCATATGATGTACATATAGCTATGCATGATTGTGATGTACCTATATGTATCTGTGTGCATACACATAGGTATATGTGCATATACATGTTGCAAGTATATGCACACATGCATAGCTATATATATACAAAGCATATACATATAATAATTATATACGTACATATATACTCATGCATAGCTATGCACATGTGCAAAACATATACACATACAAAGCTATGTATGTACATATCTGTACACACATATGAATGAAATGCCAAATAACTGAACTTTTTTTTAATTCCAAATTCAACAGAAGGTCACTGGATGTATCTGAACAGAACAAATTACTTTATTAGGCCTACACTTAAGGAAACTCACTTTGGTATCTGTGTGAATGAAGCATTGAAGTGGGACCAAGCTGGAAATAAAGAGATCAGATAAAAAGGTAATACAATAATGTTGGTTACAGGTGATGAAGGCAGTGGATGTGTGAGTAAAGAGTATAAATGAAAGAAATTTTATAGAGGTAGAAATGCCAAGTTAACTGAGACAGATGAAATAGATCCTCAAGAACTAAAAGAAAAAACAGGTAAGATTGCCAAATCATTTGCAATGAACTTTGAAATATCGCAGAGAACAAGGGAGACATCTGCAGAAATAAAGGTAAATGCTACAATTATTTTAAAGAGAGGAAACAAATTAGAAACATCTATGTCAGTGGGATTGTCTTAAATTCCCCATATGAAGAAAATTTTAAAACTGTGGTTAGCAAACATTTGAACAAGGTAGTGGTGATTGCAAAGGACCAGTATAGTTAAATGAAAAATAAAAAGGTCAAGAACTTTTATTTTCTTTTTGGTGGAATCTCTGATTTGGTGAGCTTCAGCAGTTTATTGGATAAAAGATGTGAATTAAAGTTTGGCTTCTGACATATACTTGGTTTATGACCATGGGCAAAGCATTAAATTATTTCATACCACATCCAACTCTACAAGATTTTTGGTAATGCACCAGATATTCTCTGTTCTCATGATAAAATTTTCACAAAAAGCCTTCCCTACATAAATGAAATTATAATTATTGCACAGGGTGGCAAGGAGCAATTAATTGGTTGAGATGAAATGCCATAGGTATAATTTATATAGATTTTTGATAAACTGTCTTAGGCAATTTCTATGGAAAATAGGATGATAAGCTGAATGACGGCAAAATTTTGAGAATTCAGAACTACTTGAAAGCTAGACGTAAGTGTCATTTATCTAATGGCTTCCTATTATCTAGAAAATCTGACATTACTCCACCTTAGTCATCTAGGGACCTCTTGTTGGCAAATCATAGTTTTAGACAATGGTTGGGAGAATAAAGAATTTAAAAAAAAAACACTTAAGAGGCCAGAATAATGGTCCAAAATACATAGGATGGAATTTTATAAGACAAGTATAAATTCTTGTTCTGAGGTCCCACACATCAACTTTACAAATACAAGAAGAATAACTCATGACTTAATATTCCTCTATCTGGCAAAAACAACAACAACAACTTAGATGATTTAGAGGATTAAACATTTATCATGAATTATGAATATTCCATGGAGGTCAAGAAATATTTGGAGATTTTAGGGACAATTAAGAGAACACATCACCCCTCTATGGGGAGGTGATAGTAATATTATATTATAATCTTCATACATTCTTTATTATAATATTTATAAATATTATATTTGTATGATTGCATAAATATTATATTACTTATAGAAACATTTTATATTTCTTTGGTAAGATCACAATTGGTTCTATCCTCAGTTCTGGGTACTTTTATGATGGCTCCAATTCATATCAAATAAAGATCAGTTGAAGTTAGGGGAAATGCTTATGCAGGACAATAGAATAATTAATGTGAAGTTGAGGAAAAGGCCTGATGGCAATATTCTTGTATTTGAAGGGACATCTAATAAATAGATCAGTTAATTCAAAAAACATCAGTTAAATGCCAACTATTTGCCTAGGATTATGCTACATGCTGTCAATAAAAAGACAGCAATCTTCTTCAAGTAACTTACCTTCTATTGGAGGAGACAAGGGAGATATTTGTAAGCATGATATTTAAGGGAAAAATACACAATAAATAGAAGGTAATTTGGTGGGGAAGACACCAAGCTTAAAGGACTGTTAAAGGTTAAAACTGAGGAAGTGTGTTGTACATTACAAAAACAAAACAAAACAAAACAAAAACCCTAAGGATTCTGATTGATCAGAAGAGATAGTACATTGCCATGGGGTGGGTGTGGAGCATGTTGTCAAGGTATATGAATTAGATGAAAAGGTAGGTGTGAGAAATGTCTGGAAAAGCATTTTGATTGAACAACATGGGGCAAGAAGAAAAATAATCTACATTAAAGCTGGAAAAGTAGGTGAGAGTCAAAGTCATGGAAATCCTTAAATGCCAAACATAGGAGTTGTATTTGAAGCCAGAGATAAAAAGGAAGTTGTTAAAGTTTGTGGAGAACAGTGACATGGTCTGATCCATGTTTTAGGCCAATCAATGTGGCAGCTGTAAGAGAGGGATTAGCCCCAGAAAAGAAAGGAGGACCAATAGATAGATACTGCAAAGAGATCAATTTAGTTTTGATGGAAATTTCAATTTCAATCCATTTAGAGTTATTCAATTTGAATTAGTGTCCTTGAAACTATATGTTTTAAAGCAAGGACTGTAACCAATCATAACGGTAATTGTAGGGGTGGGGGTTATATTTGAATCATGTTTTGAAGTATATAGCCATAGATTTTTTTTCCTGACTTTGATAGGTTGTGACTGTATAACACCGAAATTCTCTCCAAAAGTAACCATGGTGAGTGCTAAACGAAATCAGAGTGCTACAGTGATGTTCATACTCTTAGGATTCTCTGAATACCCAGATCTCCAAGTGCCCCTCTTCTTGGTGTTCCTGGCCATCTATGTCGTCACTGTGGTGGGAAATTTGGGCATGATTGTGATCATCAGATGCAACCCCAAACTCCACACCCCTATGTACTTTTTCCTCAGTCACTTATCCTTTGTGGATTTCTGTTACTCCACTATAATCACACCCAAACTGTTAGAAATCTTAGTTGTGGAAGACAGAACCATCTCCTTCATGGGATGCATCATGCAATTTTCTTTTGCTGTCACCTGTGTGGTGACAGAGATGTTCATGTTGGCAGTGATGGCTTATGATCGATTTGTAGCTATTTGCAATCCCTTACTATATACAGTTGTCATGTCCCAGAAACTTTGTACCCTTCTGGTCACCATATCATACTCATGGGGCCTCTTTTCTTGTGTGGTCTTCACCTACTCTCTCCTTATCTTGTCTTTTTGTGAGATTAACATCATTAATAATATTCTCTGTGAGTATTCTGCCATCCTCTCTGCCTCCTTCTCTGATAAACACTTAACTGAGGTAATTCTATTTAGTCTTTCAAATTTTAATACCTTTTGCACCCTCATAATTATACTTACCTCCTATCTCTTTATTTGTATAACTGTCACGAAGATGCCTTCAACCAGTGGGAGATGTAAAGCCTTCTCCACCTGTGCCTCCCACCTGACGGCTGTTACCGTTTTCTTTGGAACTATCCTCTGCCTCTATTGTGTGCCCAGTTCCAAAAGCTCATGGCTCATGATCAGAGTAAGCACTGTTTTTTGTACAGTGGTGATTCCCATGTTGAACCCGTTAATATACAGTCTCAGGAACAAAGATGTGAAGGAAACGTTCAGGAAATTAATGGTTATCAAAATATTTTCTTGCTAAAATTATTGTAAGGGTGATATCTCTACTTATTGAATAATACTACAAGAACTTACCATGACATTTATTTAACAAATTCATTCCTAACATCCATTTTGTCTGGGAGTTGGGCTTTAGGCACCACACCTATCTGGAAGTCAGCCATGGGTGTGTAACTGAAGAAAATATGTAAAGTGAAGGAAAACAAAACAAAAGAAAACAAACTCAAAAGGAGAACAGCAACCAAAGAGGCAACAACAACAAATAATAACATTGTCAGCAACAACAACAATAATAACATACTTTCGTAACTTATTCCAAAAGATAGAGTGAGCTTCAAGACTACATAGAAAGGGAAACATCTTAAATTGGGGGGGACATAAATCTATTGCTTTAATAAGTTGGGTAGTTGTTTTCTTCAATGAATCTCATCTCTCACTTTTATGCAAAAAAAATAAAACACAAAAGGGTAAGGTGACACAAGAAAAATGCAGAAAGTAGATTTAATAAGGCTTATCTTATACCAACATTTGAGGACACACGGGAAATGATGATAATGATAATGATGATGATGATGATGATGATGATGATGATGATGATGATGATGATAATATTGATAAGAAAATCAAGTCTTCATTTGTAGTGTTCAATCATTTCTGATGCATAAGTGTCCACAATGAAGAAATAATGTTCAGATTCAATGAGTCAGTAAAAGGTTGCTCCAGTCCTGACATGTTGTGGTATGTATGTGTGTCTGCATGTGAATTGTGTGTGCATGTCTGTACATCGTTTGGGCCCTGCATCGTGGATTAGAGATGTACAATTCAATGTTAAATTTCTGTTTTGAAATATTATTGCAATAACATTTTGTACTACTTTGAGAAGAGGAAGATCCTTAAACATTCAACTTCAGGATGAAAGACAAAAAGATATATATTTTTTTAAATTAAATATAAAATAAGAGTTTGAAGTACCAAAAATGTATATGTTGATTCTAAAAATAAAGCATATTGAAATAAAATTACCATAAATATTTTGGCAAATATTTTTATAATATATCTATCAGCACATAACATGAATTTATCAGAGTTATATACAGGTTCCAATAAATAAGTGGCCTACATAATCAGCAATTCTTGAAAGAAGAAAAAAAACAATAATGAGCTGAATAACTATTTAAATTTGATTATAATTAAGAACATAATTCAAAAAAATTCTGAGATACCACATTGCACAATTAATTTTTGAAGATAATTAAAAATAACAAAGTTGATAGCTACAAAAGGCTGAGAATTTAGTACAATGCTATACTCTTTTTGAGTTGTGATGGTCTTGAAAATAATATGCAGTTTCAATAAGGATTTTTTAAAAAATATTGATTTTATGACTAGCACCAAACATTAATGAATAAGTAAAACATGAACACCTTTTTAAACAGGACCAGCAATTTTTAAACTTGTAAGGTATTTGATTATTTTCAAGTAAATATGAACTTTAAAAATTGAAATCATATGTTTTTAAAATTCATTTATATTCTTTTTCTATTGTATTAGGGGAAAAGTTTATATGAAATATAAATTTTATATGAAAAAGAAAAGGAAAAGAAATTCTTAGAAATGAGGTAGAGTATTTGGACAATAATTGAAGGGAAAGGGGCTAAACTTAGGTGCCCTGGTATAGTGGGAACATGGTCAGAAGTAAAAATGAATAGAATTTGTATGAGGACTTGGGAGTGGAGAGTTTCTTTCTCCACAGCATCATCCATACAGATGACAAAGAGGTAATCCTAAGAAAAGTGTATGATCATGTCAATCTCCTACTCATTAAATTCCAGGGCTCCCTATTGTTTCCATTATCAAACACAAGCTTCTCTGTTTTGTTTTGTTTTATTTTTTGAATCTCTTCATAATCTAGCCCCAAACTACTTCTCCACCTTAGTATGCATTATTCATTACTACTCTATAATTTGGTCACACTGGCCTTCTTAGTATTTGAAAATATAAATAGCTGATCTTCCATCTTCATGACTTTTCACTGGCCATCAACAGTAAATGGATGTCCTCTAGTTTGTCAAGTTTATCTGTATCTCCAGCTCCCAGCTCAGTACTATTCTATAGTAGGTTTTCAATAAATGATTGTTGATTGATTCATTAATGATTGATTTATTTCCCTTGCATGTGAATAATTACAACTCATCTTCAGGAAAGAAATTGCTATCACCTGTTTCTGAGAGAATGTGAAGAATTTGTGAAATCAATCAATTTAAGAGTCTGAGACAGAATTGAGAACTTACTGTTTCATAGGATATGCTTCGGAAAACAATCTCCTGGTGTTCTGATTAAGGGAGCAAGAGAAGTTTTATAATACTGCCACAGAGACATGAGTATTTTAGAGTGTTCCTTATGATGATTTTCAGAGGACTCCATGGCCCCTTTAGATTCCAAGGGTCACAATTATATCTCAGAGCTCTTTCTACAACCTCCTAGGTTGATTCAGAGCATAATATTTGGCTTACATCCATAATGACATATTTCCTTTTAAGTACAGTATTCCTTCCTAGGAAATTTCCCAGACTCCATGTTTCTTATCACACCACTTGCCGGCCATCTTCAATTCTATGCCAATTCACCACTAGCGAACTTTCACTCCCTTTCATGTTTCCAGGTCCATCTCTGAGAATAGCAATTTGTACAATGATTCCCATGAAGAATGTCAATAATTTGTTTGATAATGTATGACATTTTTTAGGTGGAGCCTGATAGGCTGGTACCATACTATTTTAGATCTGACTTTGGCATTAACAAAAGGAGTTTTACTTAGTCTCAACACAGAAAGGATATTCAACAACTTTTGAACTTTTCCCAAATCAAGGCTAATCACATCCTATTTCTGATGCTTTTTGTGGAAAAAAAAATAACAAATTAGCCTAACCCTTGCTGGGGAGGAATGTGAATTTTTAAATCCCCAATCCCTTTGATTTCCCTGCCCAAAACATTCCTTCCTATTTATCTAATCCATCATAGTTATTGTCTTCTCCTATTAGTATATAAGCTCCTTAAGGCCAAGGGCTGTCTACATTTCTTGCATTTGTATCTCTAGCACTTAGCACATGTATAGAAAATAACAAGTGCTTTAATATGTTGCTTCATTCATATTGTGTCAGCTCCTTGAAGACAGGGAGAGATATAGATATAGATCTATCTATGTACATAGCTATGTCTATAAATGTATATATCTAAATCTATATAGATCTATAGAATTATATCTATATTTATAGGCACATATCTACAGATGTATAGCTATATCTATCTATTGTCTCCTCTGAGTCAAACACAACACATAGCACATAATAATCACTAGCACATGTTTGCATATTGAATGATTAGTTTGCTCTTCTTTCAAGTTACTCTACCTATTCTCCCAGAGCAGTAACCCATCAACAAAGAATGAACATAAGCCATCAAGCTGTTTCCTCAAGCTCTTCAATACATCAGAAAACTTTGGGCAAGGGAATATTTCCTTGTAATTTTTAGGGCCTATATACATCTGCCTTTCCTGCTCTCAGTTTTAAAACAACTCTCATTCTTCACATTTACCTTTCTTTTAAATTTTGTGCCTTTCATTTTCCTTAATGAACCACTTCTCAAGATCACTTCTCTTATTCTCTCCAAAAGGAACCATGGTGACTGCTGGCAGAAATTTGAGGCTTGTGACCTCATCAGATTCCAAGACAGCAACCATCATCTCCATGCAAATGATTTCTACATCTATATAGGCAGTCTTGGTGTCTCTGCTGAACTACAATTATGTACAACTGACTTTTAAGTATCTCAAATTGGATGTGCTACAGATGTTTAAGTCAATGTGGCCAAAAGAGAATCCATTATATTTTTTTCCAAAGCTTTCTCTCTCCATTTCTGAATTTCCCTATATTGTCAGGGGCTCCACCATCTTCCCAGTGACCCAGTCTCAAAATTTCATTGTCACTTTCAAAATCTCATTTTCATTTATCCCACATATCCAATGTTGTGAAATCTATTTGTTTGTTTGTTTCTGGCATTATTAACATCTCTCCTTTATAAACCTTTCTCTCTACTCACATAGCAACTATCCTCATCAACTCTTGCCTACACTATTTCATCGGTCTTCTAACTGGACTTTCTTGATCAAATCTCTCTTTCCTCCCTTGATCTGGCAAAATATATATGCCTGTTTTTTTTTTCTGTTGGCATATTTGGTTTTATTGTCTTAAGTAAAGTCTAGGTATGACCATGTCACACCTCGCCTCCACTTTCCCATCCTTCAGGCATAGTGAGCTCTAGTACTTCTCTATTACTACAAGGATCAAATGTAAACACCTGTTTGGTATCTAAATCTCTTTGTAATCTATCCCTCCCTGTTTTTTATACATTAATCCCCTGCATACTTTAGGATCCAGCTATGCTGGACTTCTTGCTTCTTTTAAATTTTACACTCCATCTGCATGCCTTTATATAGGCTGTCCCCTGTCCTGATATGGAATCCTCTGTTCCCTTATTTCTTGTCCTAGTATCCCTCTCTTTCTTAAAAAAAAAAAAAAACCCTAAAATCTTACATTCAGCCAGAGTTCTTTCCAAGCCACCACCCCAGGGTATAAATAATTTCTCTGAAATTACCTTTTATATGCTATGGCTTGTATTTACTTAATTTCTTAAATCTCATCTTCCTTATTTGGAATATTTTATTCATGATGATAACTAGCACTTTATGGTTTGAAAGTGCTGTAGAAGTAGTATTTCATTTTGTCCTCACAATAACTTTGGGAGATATGTTATTATTCCCATTTTATAGATGAGGAAATTGAGGCAGATAAAGGCCAACTGACACACTGGATCATACAACTAAGATTAAATTAGAACCTGGTTCTTCCTGACACCAGGTCCAGGGATCTATCCACTGTTTCATGTAGCTGCCTCTAATAAAAGAAGAAAGAAGGGAAGAAAGAGAGAGACAGAGAAAGAAAGAGAGAAAGAAAGAAGAGAGAA